CCCTTATTCTGCACTCCCCACTCATCAGAAACATCTTTCCTGCGTTCACTCTATCTAGTCCAGTTAAATTTATAGGTTTCTATGAAATATTCCCTTATCTTCAAGCTCCAATTACTATAGTCCTGTCTGATCCAGTGTCTCTTCATACATCAGTCCTGCCATCCGAGGAGTAGTCTGGTAAATCTTTGCACTCCCTCCATAGCCAGAATATATTTCCTCCGATAGGGAGAACAAAACTAGACACAATACTCCAGGTAGTGAGAACTGCCGATGCTGGAGTCAGAGATAAGTGTGGAGCTGGAGGAGCACAGCAGGCCAGGCAGCATCAGGAGCAGGAAAGTTGACATTTCGGGACCGATCTTCAGAAATTTGTGATGTGTGCAAAGTGAGGCTGGGTGTTTCAGCACAAGGATTCTTTTAAACAAAGACCATTGTAATTGAGAGGAACCAGATATCTGAAGAAGGGTCCTGACCCGAAACGTCAATTTTCCTGCTCCTCTGATGCTGCCTGGCCTGCTGTGCTACTCCAGCTCCACACTGTGTTGTCGCAATATTCCAATTGTCGTCTTACTAGGACTCTGTACTATTGCAGCAAGACATGCCTGCTCCTGTATTCAAATCCTTTCACTACAAAGGCCAACATACCATTTGGCTTCTTCATTGCTTGCTGTACCTGCATGCTTCCTTTCAGTGACTGGTGCTCCAAGTCTCATAACACCTCTCCCTTTTTCAGTCTATCACCATTCAGATAATCTGCTTTCCTAACTTTGTTATCAAACTGGATATCCTCATATTTGTCCACATTACAGATCATCTGTCATGTATTTCCCCAATCAACTTGTCCAAACACACTGAAACATCGCTGCATCCTCTTCACATTTCACCCAGCTTTGAGTTGTCTGCAAACTTAGACATATTACATTTTACTTCCTCATCTAAATTATTAATAAATATTGTGAATAGCTGTGGTCCAAGCACTGATCCTTGCAGTACCCCACTAGTCACTGGCTGCCACTTGGAAAAAGACCCGTTTATTCCTTTGTTTTTTGTCAGCCAACCAGTTCTTTATCCAAGTCAGTACTCTAGCCCCAATCTCAGGCACTTCAGTTTTGTACAATAATCCCTTATAGGACCTTATTGACAAGCTACTGAAAGTCCAAGAAAACCACAACCATTGGCTTTCCCTTATCAACTCTACTAGTTCCATCCTCTCAAAATTCCAGTAGTACATCAAGCAGGATCTCAGTTTCATAAATCCGTGCTTACTCTGTCCAATCCTGTGTTTTTTTTGCCAAATGTTCTGCAATTAAAACATTTATAATGAACTCTTGCATTTTCCTCACTACTGATGTCAGGTTAACTGATCTATAAATCCCTGATTTCTCTCTACATCCTTTCTTAAGTAGTAGGGTTTCATTAGCTGTCTCCAATTGTAGGAACTGTTCCAGAGTCTGTAGAATCTTGAAAGATAACTACTGATGCATCTAATGTTTGCACAATCACTTCCTTAGGTACTCCGGGATGCAAATTAACAGACCCTGGGGAGTCATTGACCTTTAATCCCATCAATTTGCCTAAAACCACTTCCCTATTAATACTGATTTCCTTCAGTTTCTTGCTTTCGCTGGAACGTCATTTGTGTCCTGTGTGAAGACTGAATAAAATTGTTTTTAATTGAACTGCTGACTCTGTTTCCCATTATAACTTCCCATTTTTGACTTTTCTGCACATACTTATAGAAGCAGAGAAACTGTAAGATGACTAGTGCAATTGCAGGTCTATAGTGGTTGGAACTTTAGTTTTCAGCATTGACTGTATTCATGAAAACCTAGTCTGCTTATGACCCAACAGGTAGTCTTTAAATATCTGGTGCAAGATTTCTCCTTCAGGAGTTCGCAGAAATGGAGCAATCTTTAAGGCCTCTTCAGTGATCCAACTGAGCTGCACAGTGGTTGTGTGCAGTTTGTTTCCCTGATGGGGGTTTGCGGCTCAATATTTATGTATCTCGGGCCTATCCATTCAGACAGATTGTTCCCAGTGCTAGAACACCTGTTTTTGGATGTAAACAAAGTTTATTCTTTGTGTGGCATTTCCACAAATCATGTGGTATTTGTTTCTAGATACAAACTTAAAAGCTTGCTTTCTCCTTAATAGAATTCTATGGAAAAAGAATGAAGTGGCTGACTATGAAGCTACAACCTTCTCAATCTTTTACAACAACACCCTGTTTCTGGTTATGGTGATTATTGCTTCATTCTTTATACTGAAGAATTTCAATCCTACAGTGTATCCTTTTTAATGCTGAAATAATAACACCACCATGCAGGTATCTACATTTAAGAAGGAATCAGTTAATGGTTTTAAACTTGTGTCACCTTCATCAGTTATTGCATTCCTGTTACTGATTGGAGCTAAAGTGTCGCAAGACGTGATTAAAAGATCAGTTTTTCTTTTCCTTTGAGAACTACAGGTTAGAGGTCCTAGTAAGTGTATGGAAGACTATTAACTATCAGTCTACACATTTCTCCCCATTATTAGACAGGAATCCATATTGCTGATTTCATTGCAGCTGCTAAAGTTTCTGTCATTCCCGATTTGGTAAATTTGAAACCTTAGATTGTGCTGTAATCATTCCGTTGTTGACGTTAAATAATATGATTGCTGAGTATGCACACAGTTGGTCTTTTAGATCTCTTTGAACAGCACTGTATCCAATAACCGCAAATTAAATGCAATATATTCTCTGGAAAATAGATGGAAACACAACTGTACAGGACCCAAAATTTATTTTCTTGTGTTGATGCTTCATTTATCTGAAAATATCATTCAGTCTTTCTATTCAGATATAAATTATTGTTACACGTTTCTGTATAAAACCTGTATTCCTTAATTGAACTCTCAGAAATTACATCCTGTCGATTTGTGCTTCATCAGGGTTGATTGCTCTTCTTTCTACAGGCTCAAAGTAATTTTCTCGGGCTTTTTTAGTGAGCTGTTGTCAAGAATTGAATAGTCTGTGTACTTAATAAGGTCACTTAGATTTTAAAATCTGTAAACTTGAGACCTGAAACTACAGAATTGGTCACTTGACTGAAACAACTACAGTTCTGTGAACTGCATTTTTTTTTACAATACACCTGTATCCATATTGTCAAGGTCATGGATGTTATGTAATAAAACGAATGCATTTTGCAACTGAGTTTTTTTCTAGGAGTTTGCAGTTTTGCTTTAACCTGTATGGACACACACACTCACCCACCCGCTCTTTCAGTAAATGCTATAAATGTCAAGTTGAAACTTGTGTAAAATAAGACATTGAGTTGGCCTTTAGTGTATATGGTGTGCTGTGTAGATGCTATTAATACAGTATTTGCAACATGTAAACTCATACAAATTATGAAAATCTCTATCCCTTATACAGCAGAAATAATGATCAAGTGTCTGATATCACTTATTGTGGGAGGCTATCGTAGATGGTCACAAGCTTGATCAAAAAGTAGGTTTTAAGAAGCTTAAGAAAGGAAGAATGAGAGCTTTAGAAATGGAAGTCACTAAGCATTTCTGCACATTTAAAAACATGGGCAATTACTACAGAAGTATCTTAAAACCTGGGGGAGGCAATGGCCTAGTGGTATTATCGCTGGACTGTTAATCCAGAGACCCACATAATGTTCCGGGGACCCGGGTCTGAATCCTGCCATGACAGTTGGTGAAATTTGAATACAATAAATATTTGGAATTTGGATTCACAGTCATCATTAGACTCCCTTGTTGGAAAAACCCATCTGGTTCACTAATGTCCTTTAGGGAAGGAAACTACCATCCTTAGCTGGTCTGGCCTACGTGTGACTCCAGGCCTACATGTGACTCCAGACTCTCAGTAGTGTGGTTTACTCTTAACTGCCCTCTGGGTAATTACAGATGGGCAATAAATGCTGCCTACCCAGCCATGTCCTCATCCCGTGAATGAATAAAATAACTAAATTAGAATGTAAAAATATTAACACATTGTATTACAGGACAAGTCAAGTAAATTGCTGCATTATAATTATGCCTGCTGGCTAGTTCTCATTTCTCATTAAACTTTTAGCTGTGATATAATAAATAACTTAAAGTGCAAGATACATCAAACTAAATCTCCCAATGTTATGCTTTCACTTAATTTTATTTTTTTATAATTAAATCAGATACAGCAATGTAATTTTTTAACCATTGAGCAAACGATATATGATCTACATTTGAAATCTGGTAACTGGTCAAAGTGCATAATACTCAATTAAGTATGATAATGAAGTACAGAAGAATGTTGCCTGATCACCTTTCTACAATAAAAGCAACTCTGTGGTTTACTTTTTATAGTTACCAATTCTGCCATGTAGTTGTTCAGTAACAAAAATTCTTTCTACAAAAGAAACTGACCAACATTCTGCTAAATAGTTTCTCAAATAATTTAAAACCATCTAAACTTGTTTTTAAAATACATAGGAGCATCAGAATGGTGGAATTCCTGTATTTCATTCAGACTGTTATGCCTGTTTTGCCATTTAATCAAATCATGGTTGATCTATACCTCACTTAATAAACTCACCCCCAGCAAAGTGTATCTACCTAAGTAAATAAAGAGTTTCGATTGACCCAGTATCCACACCCTTTCTGGGGAAAGAATTTCATATTTCCACTGCCATTTTTGATGAAAAGGTTCTTCCAGATTTCACTCCACAATGACTTAGCTCTAATTTTCAGTTTTGCCCCCTTGTTCTGGGTTCTGCCAAAGGAAATAGCTTGTCTGTGTCTACATATCAAATCCTTTTATCATTTTAAACACCATAATCATCTGTAATCTTTAATTAAAAGGACTGCAATCCCTTTACATAACCTGTCCTCACAATTTAATCCTTTTTAAGGCTTAGTATCATTTTGGCAAATATGCACTACACCCTGCTCAAGGTCAAATATCCTTTGAGGTGCAGTGCCTAAAATTGTTTGCAGTACATCAAGTGTTGTTTGACAGCTGGTACAAAATGGAGGAAGAAAAGTATTACAACGCTTATGATACACCAACAGTCCATTAGCCTTTTTGACTACTTGGTGTACTTGTACATTGATTTTTAATGATTTATGTGTCTGTACCCTTCACTTTTCTCCAGAATATCTGGTCTCTAGCCAATGAGAAAGTATTCTAATTTGTCTTGAGTCCAAAATGGATTACCTTTCACTTCCCATGGTTCACTAGTTGTTCCATTGTTTTTCCTCACTTAATCTGTCATTGGAACTTTAAACTTCCATCTTCGTTTGACCGAACTTACTTTATTTCCTAAATTAGTGTCCCCTGTGAACTGGTTGCTGTCTAAGTTTGGTGCATGTGGTGAAGAGTTGAAATGCTGATATATAGCCTCTTGAAACTCAAATTGTCAGATTCAACCAATCTGACCACATTCCCTTTATCCCCTACTGCTCTCTCCTAACTCCCAACCAATGAATAATCAAAAATTAGACATTTATGTAACCGAAGAAGTTCAGGTTTAGGGACCATTCATAAAGCAATTGCTGCTTTCTGAAAAAGGCAATTGTGTTTGCCAAAACAAGCAATGTGGTTTAACATGTATTTAGTGATTTTATATAAATGTACTTGATTAGTCTGGAACAGGTTAAAACGAGTAATTGTTTCCAGTATATTTTGTAACCTGAAATAAAACATCCTAAATGCTTCTTTGGATTCCAATTTACTATGTAAACACATTAAGACACTAGTCCTAAAAAAAATCAGCAAGTTCCAGCATAATGCAAGCCATTACATGTTCATGCCTGTGATCTATAATTCACTGGATGAGGTTCAGTTGGGAGGAATGATTGTTTAAACTTGGTACTGGAATTCAGATTCCAAAAGTACACAAGCTATGAATGTGTTTATGTTTATTTTTGTTATAAGCAAATAGTTCAGTGTACAGTTTGGGTGAATAGAAGACTGCAGGAACCACCTTGATCTGGGTGATTGTAGAATGTGCTTCTGTTTTAAGGGTACACCTTTCACTGCATAAGCATGCACCTGTGGGAATTCAATAGTAAACAGCTTTAGATTCACAGCCAGACAGTGGTCCAGCAAGTAAAGAGTGCCACTTTCATCATGCAGTCCCAGTATTCATCATGCATCTTTAAGTTAGGATCGGTAGTCCTTCTTGCTTAGTGGTTTGTTGCCAAGTATGCTGTCAATCTCGTTCACAATCTGTGATGTCAACTTTGAGAGAACCTGAAAAGTTTCCAATCATTTCGTAAGTAGTAGGAAAGATATCCTGAAAATATTTTATCCAGTACAGTCTAGGCAAGACAGACTTTCAATTTCCATTTATATAACATCAGTAGTAACCTACTTGGAGTCATAGAAATATACAGCATAGAAACAGACCCTTCGGTCCAACTCATTCATAACAACCAGATATCCTGAATAAATCTAGTCCCATTTGGCCCATAACCCTCTAAACCTTTCCTATTCATATACCAATCCAGATGCCTTTTAAATATTGTAATAGTACCAGCCTCCATCACTTCCTCTGGCAGCTCTTTCCATACACAGACCACCCTCTGCGTGAAAATGTTGCCTCTTCGATCCCTTCTAAATCTTTCCCTTCTCACCTTAAACCTATGCCCTATAGTTTTGGACTCTCCCACCCCAGAAAGAAAATCTTGTCTATTTACCCTATCCATGCCCCTCATGATTTTATAGATCTCTATAAGGTCACCCCTCAGCCTCTTGACAGTCCAGGTAAAATAGCAATAAATCAAATCAGATCAACCTCTGTCTATCCTCTGCTGCCCTTAAAGATTTCATATAAGGCAACTGGATCCAGTCTATCTTTTCACTCCTCTCCTTCCCTCTCCTACATTTTCCAATGAGAAGATCTGTTGTTTACTCTCTGCCTCCACTACTTAGCCAATTCCCCAACTGGTCAACAGTTCAATTCTGTGAAACATTCTTTCATGAAGGAATTTGGGAAATAACTTACAAAAGTCCATATTAACAACATCTACAACCGTCCCTGTCTACTACTTTAGTAGCCATCTCTTCAAAAAATTTCAATCAGGTTTGTCAGGCATAACGTATCCCTCAGAAATCCTTTTGGATCAGTTGATTTTGATAACCACTGAGATCTCAGTGAAAAATATCTTTTGAAAAATAGTCACTGTTGTAAAGTGGGAGCCTGGGGAGCCAATGTTCATGTTATGGGCCCACAGAATATTGAACAGAATTATTTTTGGTCATTTTTCTCGAAGGATAAATATTGGCAAGGACATTGGAGTTAAAATCCCTCCAAGTTAATTTGAAGTATCTTTTACATTCATCTGAGGACAGATGGATTATTGTTTCGGCATCTCAGCTGAAAGGTGATACCTCAAACAGTGCATCTGTCCCTCAGTACTACACTGATTTTGCATTCAAGGCCCTTGAGCACTACTGAATCTATATCCTTCTGATTTGGAAGTAGATGCTTTGGCACAAAGCTAAGAGTAACATCAGGATTAAGGTACAGTTCTGAAAAAAATGGAGAGCATGCTGTGGTAGATAAAAAAGTAAGTTGGTGGTGCTGATAGGGTTGACCAATCCCAACAATACAGTTCATAGTTAAAAGACCCGAAGTGGACCAAGCTACAATTTTTCACATTTTCAATTCAACAAGGTGTTTCATTTAACATTTATAATTGGGAAATGTACAAAAAGGCTCCAATTTTAAATGAACTAGACTGAAATAGTTAATTTTGCCATTTACTTCAAGTTCAATCAGAATTTTTCGCACCTCTATCTTGTAACGTTAACAACTGATAATGTTATGGTTGCATTATAATGTAGATTTTTAAAATTAGCCTGTTCAGACATATTATGACATGTCTTGGACAAGTGGAACTTGAACCCAAGTCTTCTGGCCTACAGGTAGGGACACCACCGTTGCATCACTAATGCAACCTGTCCTTAAACTTAACGTAAGTTACTGGTAGAAAAATGAACAAAATTATGTAAAATATATGCTACCATATATAAAATAATTTTTTGATTTGGTTGTCTTGTACAGGTAGTGAATGGGGTTTCCTCTCTGAATATATTTAGTGGTAGACTGTGTGTTGGTGGTTGAGCTTCGCTAACATGGTTCAAGTCCAAGATTGAATCAGTGAGCTGCAGTGACCAATGTTTTAAAGGAGCTGAAGAATTATGTATGGTTGTGAGTACCACATTATAGGAAGGATGTGAACACATTGGAGAGAGTGTAGAAGTAATTTACAAGAATGGTTCTAGGGATTAGATATTTCATTTATGAGGATAGATTGAAGAAGTTGGCACTGTTCTTGGAGACACGTAGCTAAGAGGAGATCTAATAGAGGTTTTCAAAATCATGAGTAAGCTTGATAGTGCAGATAGCAAGAAATTGTTCTGGCTCATAAAAGCATCAAAAACTAGAGGGCACAGATTTCTTTTATTTAACCTATTTCTGTAATCAGTCTGTTCAGCGATGTTACCAAAGATCTCTGGAACAGGTGGGATTTGAACCTAGGCCTCCCTGTCCAGGAGTAGGGACACTACCACTGCACAAAATTCCACCTGCTTTTTAAAAAAATTTAACTTATTTTTGTAATCAGCTTTTCAGAGATATTTGTACACACCTCTGGAGCAAGTGGGTCTCCTGATCCAAGAGTAGGGATACTATCACTGCACCACAGGGCACGGATTTTAATGTGACCTGCCATCGGAGTAAATGTGATGTCTGAATAAAATTTGTTAGACACTAAGTAGTTAGCGTATGGAATGCACTGTCTGGAAATGCAGTGCAGGTACATTCAGCTGTGTCATGCAAGTGGATATTGGATGATTCTTTGAACAAAAATAATATGCAAGGCCAGAAACTGGAAGTAGGTAATGATGCTTATTTGAAGAGTTGGTGCAGGCACAATGGGTTGAATAGCCTCCTGTGCTGTAAGGCTTGTGTAATTCTGAGCAACTTGCAAGCATCAGGAGTGAAAAGAAGTAGTATTTTAACATGGTAGGGAAATCATTTATGCTTATCGTAGCAAGAAAATTATATACTGGAAACCATTAATGCAAGAGACAATTAGAGCAAAGGTACTAGATCTATGTCCATCATTCCTTACTGCAGCTAAGAATCTCTAACTAACTATGGAAGTGACCACCTTCCATACTGTACTGCCCACAGATGCCAGTTTAAAGAACTGGAGACATCAAATACGATGCGGAGTCGTTGCTGGGTCAGTGCACTCCATCTTTAACAATCTTAAATAAGAAATAATAAGGAATAAATTATATATATAATACTTATATTAGAAATAATATAATATTTTGAATCAATACTTGAAAATTGAGTGAATAAGTGCATTTTCAAACAAATGTTCAGTACACAAGCTGTAAAATGTAATGATTTTAATGAGTATAATTTATTTCACAGTTGTGTTGATCTGTTTTCTGGATTTTTAGTTGCAAAGTTTATCATAATACCAGCAGTCCAATTTATTTAATTCTGTCAAATTTCTCTTCCTTGTATTTTTTTTTGGAGCAGGTTTATACCAAAGAATTAGATTGATCAGAATCCTCAGTAATAACTTACCTGTATGGCGCCTAGGTTTTCAGTAAGCTGTTCTGTATTGGAGGCCCCCAGGAGAACTGAACTTACACCCTCATTGCGCAGACACCAAGCTAAAAGAGGCAGAAGATTGCTGAAGGTTAAAAGTTGTATTAACCAACATTTTCAGAAAATATTGTTGTATATTACACAGTAAGAACACAAACAGTAACAGGATATGACTGTAAAATCCAAGTTAATATTTTTCATATTATATGTAAGATGTATTAGTACTTCTGATGGATCATTATTGGATATATCATTGGATTTCAATTCTGTTTTTCATGGGATGTTGATATCACTCACCAGGCAGAATTTGTTGCCCATTCTTCATGGTCTTTGAGCTGAATAGCTTGCTGGATCAGAGGCCGGTTAAGAGTTAACCATATTTCTGTGGGTCACATAAGTTAGACCACATAAGGACGTACGATTTCCTTTCCTAACAGAGATTAGAGAGAGGAATCTGCGATCCTTACCTGCTCTGAACCTTATCTGCCTGCTAGGTTTTTGTATAGCCACTAGATGGAGCACTTTGTCACAACAAAGATCCTTGAGCTTAAAGTTTGGAAGTAAGATGGCTCCTTTTTTGCTGCTGAAGTGGCTGTAATGTCAGTCATTTTGAATAGATTCTCAGCTAAGACCACCATTTTATCCAATTTATGTTTGTTAGTCTAAAGAAGTTGGAGAGCCTTGGGAAGCTGGCCAATTGAGTGATACATTGAGATACATTAAAATTTGGAAACAAGCCATTCAACCCAACAGTTTGTGTTGGTTATTATCCTGCAAATAGTACTTGTCATATTTACTCACTCTGCAGCCGTATTATTTCTATCTCATTTTCCTTCATTCACTGTTCGATCTAATCTTGAACATAACATTGCTACTATTCTAACCCTGGCCTGGTTGTGAATTTCAAAGGCTCATAGCATTAAGTAAGGATGATTTACTCTCTGTTCTAACTCTCCTACTTTTAATATTGCTGTTCTGGCCTTTCATCAGCATTTTTAAATTAGTGTACCAATCCCTCTACTCTGTCACAGCACCAAATGTGCTGGCATTTAATGTAAAATGGATGTTGTTATTCATTAATGAAAATGTAATGTCTCACACTTAATGATATTGACTTCTACCCTCCACTGTTTAATCCTTTTACCATCTTATCCTGTTGGAATTTCTTTGGTTTTCTAAAGAATTAAACTTTCTTGTTCTGTTACATTTTAATACTGTTCCCTCACCTTTTTCCAAATCACTAATGTACAAAGTTAACAAAAGCGGCTTCTGAACTGAACTCTGCAAACATCATTATCCATTTCACATAATTCTAGAAAAACTGCCTGAGACTATGACCCTCTGTCTTTCCTCTGTCTTACCAATTTTCAATCCAGTTTGTTATAGTTCCGTTAATTTGATATTCTTTGCATTGTCTGATGTTTTCACATTTGGTGCCACGATAATTACCCCTAGGGTGAGCATGTACAACTGCTGAAAGTGTAGGAATGAGTATTCACAGATCCCTAATGGGCTTGAACTGTGTACACTAATAACACCTCAGGGTGTGTGGTAGCTGTATACTGATCCTGACAGTGTAGGGCTGTGCATACATTGATCCCTGGCTGACTAGAGGAGGGTGTACAGAGGTCCCTGGAAATCTAGGGGTGTGAATGCACTGATCCCAGGAATTTAGAAGCAGAGATACATTGATCCCTGGTAATCTAGGGGTAGGGATACACTAATCTTTCTCAGAATGTACACACCACTAGATTGATCCTTGGTAGGTTAGGGCTGGGTGTATATGGATCCTGGGCAGTTTAGAGGTTTGCATGCAAACTGATTCCTAATAGATTGGAACCATATGCACTGATTCTTAACAGTCTAGGAATGAATGTACACTGATTATAGAATAATCCCCATGTGCAAAAACAGGCTATTTGGCCCATCAAGTCTGCACCGACCATCCAAAGAGTATCCCACCCAGTCCCCTCCCAATCCCCCATGAGGTTTTTGCCATAGCTAACCTACCTAGCCCGCACATTCCTGGACACTATTTCTTTTTTAAGCATGCCCAATCCACCTAACCTGCACATCTTTGAACCATAGGAGGAAACTTGAGTGCCTGGAGACACAGGGAGAATGTGCAAACCCCATATAGACAGTTACCCAAGGCTGGAATCGAACCTGGATCCCTGGCGCTGTAAGGCAGCAGTGCTAACCACAGAACTACTGTGAATGTATACTGATCCCTGACAGTCTCAGACTATGTGCACTGATGCCCCTTGGTCTAAAGTTGGATGTACGGGGTCTTTGACAGTCTAGAATGGGACATTTACCGGTCCTTGATCAGAATGCTAATCCTGACAGTCTGTGGATAAGTGTGCTTTGGTTCCCAGTGATCTATGGGTGGGTGTACACTGATTCCTGATAGTTTAGGGGTGGGCATGCACTAATCCTGGCCATCTATGGGTATGCAGACACTGATCCCCTGCAGTGGAGGAATGGGCATGTCTGGGGTGGATGTACACCGATCCTCACCAGTATAGGTGAGAGCGTGCACTGAGGCTTTTGCCATGAGTCCAGGGGTTTGAATCTGCTGGTTTCCCCATTATCCAGTTCTAAGCAGATGTGCAGCTCTTGGCAGTTTGGTTGTGGCGTGGGTAATTTGTCTGATTTCTGATAGTGTGAGTTTGAGCTCAAAGACATTAATATTTGTGTGTTTTGAATTTGCTGACCCAATAACCCCTTGTGGCAGATTAACCATAATATTTGGTTTCATACATGCTAACCTGGTCAGGACACAGTAAAACCTGTGTCAGGAACTAATGGAAGAATATGAAGGCTTCATGAAGATCTCCATTGGCATTTCTTCTTGGCTTTTAATTCATTCATAGGATGAGGGTGTCACTGGTTGGGCCAGTATTTATTACCTAATCTTCTAAGGGGCAGCTAGGGATGGGAAGTAAATGTTGGCCCAGCGACACTCACATCCCATGAAAGAAGCATACTCATGTGAGAGATAAAGCTGAAGCATTTACTAGACTGTCATTAAAAATCAAATGGATATTCTGATTCTATCTTGAGATTCTGACCATGGTTGGTCCCACTGGGGATCAAGGTCCTTTGACCTTGTTGTCTGGGGCATAGGGTTCTATGGAGTCTTCAGTCATGGTATTAGTATAGGACAGCAAAATGAAACTAAGCTGCAATATTAGCCTTCATAGGTACCCATTTGGGTGGAGCATAAGTTGCTTCCACTCTGGTTTGATGGGTTTTATGATGAATGATACATCCAGTGCATGATCTGCAGATTCTGCAACATGCTAGGTGTTGATGGAAGAGTCAAGCAGATAAGGAGTTTTGGATGTTCGTGTGCTCCCTCCAATTCATTGATTTTGCTTCTGCCTTTTCCCAGCGAAGTCTTTCAAAGTGTTCTGAGTAGAACAGCTATTTCTTGAGTCCAGTCTCAGTCTTGTGCATTACATGCCACACAGCACAGCTGGTTTTGAACAATTAGTGCCTTGACATGAGCAAATTGGCATGGGATAGAATGTTGCATTTACAGCCTTTCTGCTACGAGATATGGAGGATGTTATGAAGGCACTGCTAGTGCTATATCACTGCTTTGAGGTGCCAGCTGAGTTCATCCAAGTCTGGGAAGCATAGAGGAGTGGGGAATTAGTGTTTCCTATTTAACCAGTCTCAAGTTTGAGATCCATGCTCTTGAACGCATTTTTTCCTTTGGCTGCCAAAGACTGATTTGTTACACTGTAGACACTGATGAATTTGATCATCTACACATGTCTTTGACAAGATCAGGTTTGTAAGATGTGGAAAATGATCCACATTTTCCAGGATTGAAGGCACACAACTTTAAACGACGTACTGTACATGCAAACAAGGGGCAGGATATATCAGCCATTCAGCACCTCAGACTTGCTCCACTCATCTGATTGTTATCCCAAATCCATATTCCTGTTCATCCCTTGGTAACCTCTCATCACTTGCTTACCAAGACTCTACCATAGAAAAATGAAGCCACCATAGAAATGTTTTGATTTTGACATTAAAATTAATACATTTCCAACTCAGTATAAGTACTTAGCAAATAATATATTCCTAGTTCAAATAAAAACGGAAGTAGAAAAATGGCATTTGGATTTTCCCGTAAGTTATGTTAACATGCATTCTTCCACATCCAAATTGCACAACTTAGCTCGCAAAGTCACTCCATGCTCTCTGGGTTCTACTCACAGGAATACTTTATCCTTTCATGGAGTCGCTGTCCTGCAGCCCTTATTATCTACACACAGGCACTCTCCTCTTTCCATCATCACCTTTATAGAATAGTTAAGATGGTGTTCCTTTTTGTTCCACAAGATAGGTCTGACTTTCTTTCCTCTCACTCACTCCAAGAGATCAGCCTGAAACTTTCTTTCCCACTTCCACTCATTTAATGTTGGCATTCTCTCCCTTCCCCATCCATTCCAAGATTCTTACTTATTTCTGAGCCATGCCATCACCCGGAGCTTCACTCTTCTCTCATTTAGTATCATGGATTTGCTCCTTTCACCTATTATCATCCATTGCCATCTCTTTCACTTTCATCTGTTTCCCCCACCACCAACCTTCCAAATCATCTCCACATCTCTCCTGTTGCTAAGTCCTATCGCACTGTATTAAACTCACTATCTGCTACATGTTGCTTCTGCTGCACAGGTAGAAATTGATAAACTTGTACTTGCAAAACCGTTCACTTGCAGACTGCAGAGGTTAATTAATATCTGCCTCAGCATGTGCATGAGCATACAGCAATCCAGTCTGGTACCTTAGAAGCTTGATTTGGCTAGAGGGACCGATCTGCAGCAATTTTTGTTGACACTGGTCACAGCTGATATGTATAATGCTAACAGAAAGTGTATGTTATTTTGATCAATTAAATATTAGTCAAGCTGAGGTTTAGTAGTCAACTGCAGTATCTTAGTTTTGGGGTCAAACAAGTTCTTACATATTTTACTCAATACTACTAATTATAATTTGCCACCTTCAGTCAGAGCCGTAATAAGTGTGTTATTTCTGGATGTTGTAGAACTGTTCTCACCTATTGCTAACTGGGGTAATGTGCAGCTCAGCCGCTCCACAATTGGAGTGAGATCCTTTAGCTTTGCCTGCTGTCTTCTTCCTTCTTCACTGATAATTTTGTCCTTTAACCACTGATAACACTAAAAACAAAGCACAATTTTAGTGTAACTATAATGTAATTGAAGATTTTCAATAATTTGAACATTTGTCTAATTGCAATAGTAACTGCATTTCAAATGAAATCTATCGGTCTTGAAGCACTTCGAGAAATATCCTGAGAATGCAATAACTGCAAATTGTTATTTAGATGATTTAATTAACATATTCTTTCCAAATTATTTCAGTATATGCATATGAATGTCAACTAGAGATCTTTTAAGTGTTTTAATGATTCATGAGGTCTCAAGTATTTCTGATGTCAATGTCCTATTGAACACACATAAAAATTTTATATAGTGTTGTACAATATATTAGATACAATTTTAGAAAATTCTATTTTTAACCTCTTTCTGTTGAGCTGAACACAAAATATTCTCTGTAAAACCACTATATTATGCAGGCAATATGCCATTTCTTCACATCCCAGCAACAAATCTTCACTGGCTTAATGGTAATATGACATTATTCATTTTGTCATTAATTCTGATGCGCTTCTTCATCCTTATGTTTAGAACAAAACTCCTGTTGGCTTCAGAAACTGTAATGGTGAATATTGCATGTTATCATTGGGTATAACAGGAACATTTCTAAGTTTGTGTTTGTTGCTGAGCAGGTTTGAGTCAGTTATGTAAGATTCCTGTCCACTGGGACAAGTCCCCCTGGCTAGCTGCAGCAGTTGTCAGCTGAAGAATTACAGCAGCAATAGGATCACAAGGAATAGAGGTTTCTGAGAGAACTACTTATCATGTGCTGGAAGCTTTCATGCTGAAGAGACAGAAGCTGATAGCCTGAAGTTCTTGGTGAAATCAAAAGAACATTGCCTTTCATTACTAGAATAGCTGCAGAGATGATAGAGACCATCAAAAGAGTTACAATTGAAGAATAGAACTGGTGCTCTCAGTAGGTTTATGGCAGAATCAGAACAAGGATTAAAGATGTACAGTGGACATAGCAGCCCTCATCGGAGCTCAGTGCGACTGAGACTAAGGGACCACAATATGGAACCAATCTGTTGCACAGTTAAGGAGAAAGAGTACAAAGCTAATGAACAGGTGTAATGCTAAGTATCAACACCAGTCATGCAGTTTGAATACAATAAGTGCTTATAGGGTTTTTGTGGTGCACTGGTAATCCTTTGGGCTAGAAAGTCTGGGTTCAAGTCCCACTTGCTACAGAGGTGTGATGTAACGCAGCTAAACAGATTAATTATAAATGTCTACAAAAAGTATTGGATGGCTGTAGAGTGTTGTTAAAGCTCTTGCTGATTTTTCAGTGTATTTATTTTATTCTTTTTATAACTATTCTAGTCTGCAGCTTGAACTGGGAACTGTGAGCTAAAGGTGATTTTTGGACTATGGGTAACAGTTTGTGTTATGCAGAACACAGACCAAACAAGCTTTTGTCTATTCATGAGGCCAGGCCTAGAAGTTAATTGCAGGATTAGTTCCTGATCAAAGGGCTTTGCAGGTGCTTCATTACCAGGGAAGAACACTATGTTTAAACAGACTGTAGAAGTTGTCTATTATTGAGGTCAGAACCTGGGAACTGGTTCCAGCAAGTCTGGAAAAGACCTTATGCTTAAGCAGAGGGCAGATGTTGAATGATAACTGGCACCTTGTGGAGGAGATGATTAGTTGTTAGGAAGTGGTCAGAGTCTGAATTGGTGTTTGGAGTAGACTTTCTTTGGGAAAATTAATCTGGCTGTTGATACTACAGCATGAAGATTTCAGAGCTCCCTGCCTAACGTTCTATGAGGAACTCCTGGAAGGTTAGAGAGTAGAAAACTAAGTTATTGTATTACTGCCTTTAACTGAATAAACTGTGAAGGTGACCCTAATTGTTTTTTTTTTGGAAAGCAACCGAGAAATCATCATCGATGCCTGGAAGAACACGTCACGAAAGCCACTTAAGTGATCTGGCCAGTTTTGTTTTTTCTTATTTACTCCTTAGCTGTGTTTGTTTGTTTGTCTTTTGTGTGAATGGGGCTGATAAAAAAGGTTTTTGGATTTAATGCATAGACCAATTAGATTATTTTGTTATTTAGTTTTACTCTGCTAAAGTTACTGTATTGTTAATAAATTGTTGAGTCTTTTGTTTAAGATACGAACTGGTCTCTGGAATTTGGTTCTTCAAAACTCTGTTTAGGACCCATTGGGGTCAATTTTGAGGGTCTTCAAAAGTTGTAATTTTTTTATGTTGTGAATGTAAAGGTAGAAAGACTGATTTGCATCAGCTACCAGTCTCTGTGTCATAACAAGAGGACTGGTGCTGGTCCCTGCAATCGTGTTAATTGCTCCTTAGGTAAAGTTGTACCATGATTGTTACACCATATGGTAGCTCACAAAATTTACCTTAACTCAACAGTGCAACAGGCCCCTTGCACCTTTTTTAATGAATAGGGGTATAGCCTTACAAATATGTAAAAAGCCATTTTCTAAAATAGCAATTGAATTATAGTGGTAACCTTAGGAGTGAGTTTATCATAAACTTACATCAAGAGGAAGTCCTGATATAAGATTGTGCAAGGCTTTTCATAGGATTGTCTCATTCAATTAAATACAAGTTTGCATTAGAGCACTATGAGTGATATAGCACTGCAGTTTGATGTTGTTGTGGGTTTCTATTATCTAGGAACTTGTTAGCCATCTCTGCTGGTAATTCCCATAAAGCAATAAATTTTGTTTCCCCAATACCTGAGCATATTCAGTGAGTTTTAATATTGTTATGATCCCGTCTGATGGTAATATTGGTCAAGTCAAGATCCCATAATGAAAACTGGCTTAACAGTTCATGTGCTTTTTTTTGGGTAATATGGCTATCAGTCACTGATACATAGCCACATGAGGCTGCAGAGTTTCTTTAACAAATGGACAAAAGTTTTATTTTACAAAAGAAGATATAAATTAAAATCCAGTTATTGAACACAGTGAGAAAGACCTTAACACACATAGCAAAACAAAGTTTTAACCTGTTTCCTGACACAATGCAGTACAGAAACTCCTCTGGAGAAACTGCCGTCTACACTAAATCTTTAGGTTCCACTTAACCAATTCTTCCCAGTTTCTATCCTGTGAACTGTAGATTCTTTTAAATACTTTTGAAACTGACAGCTTACACTTTCTCAGCTTTTAACAAATGTCCTGGTTCTGAAATTTCACAACTAAACTCTTCTATTGAGGTAACTGTGTCTACTCTGACCTGTGTAAAATAATTCCTTTCTATGAAAGACTTAATACTTGCTTCTGATGCAAAGTAGGTCTCCTTTGAACTGTCCTAAAAAGTTTTAACCTTTAATTATTTTGAATTAGAACTAATGGCCTTCAATGTTTACCTGTTGTAGACTAGCACAGTATCTTTTCATTACTACTTTAGGTGTCCCTGCTCTATGACACATGTTGAATTAAGTCACTATTTCAGAAGGAATATCATACCTTATTTTTCCAAAAACAACTTCACAAAAATAACCAACATCTACATGCCAATATTTTGAAATCCAAACTCTAAAAACAATATCTACTTTATGAGTCTGTATATATTTTATAAAAATCACACAGCTTTCATTGCACTATATAGAATTTTTTATGAGACGTTAATGTCACTGGCTGGCTAGCATTTATTCCCATCCCTCGTTGTCCTTCAGAAGGTGGTGGTGACCTGCCTTCTTAAACTGCTGCAGTCCAAGTGCTTAAGGAAGACCCACAATGCCATTAGGGAGCGAGTTTTAGGATTTTGACCCAGCAACCGTGAAGGAACAGCGATGTATTTCTAAGTCAGGAAGGTGAGTGGCTTGGAGAGTAACTGGAAGGTGGTGATATTCCCATCTATCCACTGCCCTTATTCTTCTAGATGGTAGTGGTGGTGGGTTTGAAGGTATGGTCTAAGGATCTTTGGTGAATTTCTGCAGTGCATCTTGTAGATAATACGAAGCGCTGCTACTGAGTGTCAGTGGTTAATTAAAAATGTAGCTTTGATCTTGGGTCTCCTGAATGAGCTAATCTCAGCTGCCAGTATGGTAGATGTATGATAAGTGCCCATAGGGCCTCTGAATCATAGAATGGTTACAGCATACAAGGGGGACATTCGATGTGTCATGTCAGTGCCAGCTCTCTGCAAGACCAACTGGGATAGCCCCGCATTCTGACTCTTGCTGCTGCATCTTGCAAATCTTTTCACTACTGGTGCTTATCCTATTCCCTTTTGAAAGGCATGATTGATGCTGCTTCCACCACTCTTTCAGGCAGTGCATTAGTTGTGAAACCTCTTTGCAGCTGAATAGTTTGCTGACATGCAGTGTCAAAGCTCTTTTATTTATTCATCCACGGGATGTTGGTGTTGTTAGCCAGGTCAGCATTTATTGTCCTCCTTAACTGCCCAGATTGCAATTAATTTTGTGGATCTGGGCTCACATGTAAGCCAGACCAGAAAAGTATGACAGATTTCCTTCCTTAAAGGAGACTAGTGAACCAGAAGGATTTTTTTTTAGACAACCAACAGTAATGATGTGATTGCTATTACGTTAGCTTTGTTTTTATTGAATTCAAATTTAACTAAATGCCATGGTGGGATTCAAACCCCTGTCCCCAGAAAATTAGCCTGGAGTTTTGGATTACTGTCGAATGGTGTTACCACAATGCACCCCCATATAAGAGGTACTTGCATGAAAAACATGAAAGCAATTAGAACGGGTAGGCTTAACAAAGAGGAAATGACCACAAGATGTCTTTGCATAGTTCCTGTATTTCTGGTGGTTTGAGTGCTTTTTGGCTCCAAGATGGCATTGGGGAGAATGAAAGCAAGATCAATTCAGCAGTAAGTTGTGATTTAAGGATGTTGTAAGCCAATTTTAGGTTTGTTGTTGTTTGTTTTCTACAGGCTGTTGCTGAGTATGGAGAACTGTTTGGTGGTTTGTTCTGCCATTTGAAGTTGCTGAATTCTACAGTGAGTTGTGTGGAATGAGTTGATGGAGTTTCTCTTGACTTGTAAGGTTTCAACTTTGGTCAATTGTTTCCAGACATTGGTCCTTAGTTTGTAACCCCCTTGTCCTGCAGAAAGAAAGAAACAAAGGTGGACATCTGCTTGAAGTGAAAGGAGACAGGGAGAAGAGGAGATCTTAGCAGGAGGTCATACCTGTCCAGAGTCTTCAGTGGGCAATTCTTTTAAAGTAACCACAGCAATGAAGAATTTGTCAGAAGTCTCCACTTAACTAAGGATGTGTTTATTACATCTGTCACCTATCCTCATTAAATCTGGAAGAGCTGTACCTCGCAGCAGGACCCAGGCAGTGTTTTGGAAATGTTGATAATGGCCATATATTGAGCTCCATATATTTATATATTGAGCTCCATCCTAGCTAGGGCAGGCATCCACTGTTCTGTGGGGGAGGTCATTAAGTATGCAAAGAGAGTTGAACAAATTTCTTTTTCTCTTGACAGAAAGGTGTAGATGAAGTGAGTATATAGGTTTGCAGGTTTCCAAGGAGAAATGTGTCATCGACTGTACATACGTTGCTTCGTGGATGCCACATATCTATATAGAGGTTCAGCATAGATGGAAGGAGTTCTACTCCCTTAGTGCCAAGCTGTTATGTGGCAGTGAATTGGATTTCTGGCCAGATTGTCTATGATCCCTTTAGCTGGCGGTGATATTAGTGAATACCACTCAATTTCTGAATCTACTGCCATCCCACATCTTGCCTTGCCTCTGTTGCTGACCATCACAATGGTCTTGGCCACGATGTTAAAATTAAAGCTACAAGAAATTGAACTATTCATAGATTGTACATTCTCTTATTATCTGTCTCCATGTGGTTTTGCCTTGCCCAATGTTCCAGTTTAGTGCTAATCATGTAACTGCAGCAATGGTTGGTGAAAGGCTCATGATTTTCAATGGGAGACCGTAAATGGCCTTGGAGGATGATGTTGAACTGTCTGACCCCACAAAGGTCTGATTCAGACAGCACCACGTTGGCATCAACAGCAACAGTCCAAGCTGGCTGGCCAACTGCAAGGGCACTGGCAAAGTAACAGTAATGGCAGGATGAATGGTGTCACCCTGAGAGAGGGCAAGGGGTTTATCTTCCATGCCATTCCCTTTGGTTAGTACTTCAGTAATCCCAGCAAGGTGTTGGAGGAGCACAGAATACTGAGAAACTGAGATCCTGCCACCGAGATGGGAATAGTCTGAGTTTACGTCACAGCAACTTGAGCCTGCTTGACTTCAGCCTGATCTTCCAGTGCAGGTACTGGCAGCTATTGCAAGTGCTGCAATGGAAACCGAAGCAGCAGTATTCAGTCACCACATCATGGACAGGTCTGCAAATATTCTTACTATATTGGTCATCACTTGTACCCTGAAAAGTACAAGGTCCAAACTCTGTGCAAACACTGTTTGCCATATTGGAGTCAGATTCCTCAATGCTCCTTGACAGTGACAGTAAGATTAATGACAGCCCTACCAATTCAACAAGTGTCATTGTGTAGATCCATCTATAAGCTACTGAATTGAACACTTCGTCAGAGCCCTCTACAGAAGAACCTGTGTATATTTCTCCCTCATGCAGGCAGCAACTTTGTTACCTTTGTTCCCCTGTTGCCGACCACTTGTAACCAAATGGATAACCACAGGCAGATTCCACTTTCAATCTATCTCTAAAGTCTGTGCATTTCCAATTTTAATTGCTCCACCATAGCTGTGCCTTCAGTTGCCTCTTTCCAAGCTCTAGAATTCCCTACTTTCACCTCTCTACCTTGTTTGCCTCCTTTAGGAAACACCTTAAAATACATTTCTTGTTCATGCTTTTGGTCATGTGACATAATATCTTCCTCATGTGGCTCTATGCCATACTTTGTTATGATGCACATGTGAAGTACCTTGGGGCATTTCATGACATCAGAGACATTATATAAATACAAGCTACTGTATGTGCAGTATAAATATCTGAGCTGATGGCTGTGAATGTGAGAGCAAGTGACAGTCTCTTCTTTTGTCTTCCTTTTCCTCCTCATGCTCATCTACCAATGTCTGGTCAGGGAGCATTTCTTGGGGATCTGAAAGGAGAAAGGTAGGGTTACGGAACGGGGATGTGAGGGTTAGGAGGCAGCATGAGAAATGTATGTTTATGCCATGTGCAGATTGCAATTCAGAAGTGTTTGTGAGAATGAAGGGTATATGGGATATGAGAAAATGGATTATGTATGGTGATAGTATTATCTTCAATGGTTTAAACCCTGATTCTGACAACTACCTCAGTCATGGCTGCACCAATGGTGGAGAACAACAGATCCTCCATGGAGGCAAAGGTTATGCAGCTGTGTTGGTGTTGTTGTTTGTGGATTTATGCCACCTTGTCCAGCAAGATAGAGGGAGGTGTATTACTGAGTGAGGTGTAACCCGTTTTCATAATGTGGCTGGCTTGTTTGAATAGCTGGTGGTCTGTACAAACTGAGAGATGTGGAGGTGAGGCTTGCAGCAGTGTGTGAGGGTGAAGTGAAACTATGAATATGACGTCTGAATCATGACTGATACAGATTATTGGTAGGTGAGTGATGAATTGAGGAGTGTTTAAAGCTGGAAGTTAAGTTGTATGATATACCATTTAAAAGTGAGTTCACTGAAGTGACCACTCGTGAGGCTATTTGACATCATGTGGCATTTAGGTCCTCAAGGCTACAGTGTCTTAATTGTCTACGATGGTGATTGCTGCAATTGCTTTCTCAGAGCTGTGAGGATATAGAACATCTCTGCTTGTCTTCAACTGTTGCACCAGTGCTGAGTTTGTGAACTTTATGTGCTCTCTGCTTTATTGCACCAATCATAAATCTCCTTTTACCCACTTCAGGCAGGATGTACTTTGCCTTTAAAAGTTTTAGTCTGACTTAAAGTGATATTGGCCTCATACAAATCTCAGCACCTTGCTGAGAACTGCAGCTGTTCAACAGTGTGGTAAGTGCTGAGCTCCATATTACTAACACTTAAAGAGCACACAGTTTGAAATTTGTGTTGCCTGTACTGGAGAAATGAGTGTAGATTGGTCCACATTCCATTTTCTGTGCTCACTTTCAGGACTGTCCCTTTGACTTCTGGATGGCAGGAAAGAATAGAAAAAGTAGTAAGAGAAAAGATTTTGAGAAAAAAAAAGTGGTCCCTGTTCTTTCAAGATGTTGCTTGTCTTGGGGGCTTAAGTGACAGGTGCTTTATCTACTTTGTGCCGTCATAACATTTCTGTAATTATATTCATCCAATGAACACCAATGATTTGGAGTCATTTGATTTGCATGATAAGTGAACAGGAAAGTGAACCTGCGAACCATTAACTAATTATTTTGTGTCATAAAACAAATATTTATATAAGTCACCTTGCATTACACATTCCACAAACCCTGTACCATAACATGCACTACTATCTCCTCAATTATCTGAGAGAAAAACTTGCATACATACCGTCATAAGAAAGTTAGCACTTAATACCATCAAGTGAAAATTCGAAAAATAGCAAGAACAGTCGCTACTGTTACCTGGAAACTTCAGTTAAAACATCACTAGCATCAGAGAAAATAAGAAATGCATGAAAAGCAAAGCAAAGGCTTCACTCTGTGTCTCAACAAAGGAGCCCATTTGTTTTACCTTTAATGAAGCCCTTGAACTGTCAGGTACTCCAATATCATACTTTCCACTGATGATTCCACAGGCAAGGGGAGACCAGGTCATTGCCCCAACTCCTGCAAAAACAAATACAACTAAAAATGAGAAAACACCAGTCAATGCAATCCATTGGCAAAACAGAAAATGCAGTTGCTTCAATATGAATGAAAATACATAAAGAATTGCATCAATTGAGGTAAATATCTATAATGCTGCTGTAAATGTGGCCTCAAACCAGAGACAGTTGTCAGTTTAAACACTGAGGAAAAAAAAATGTTAAAACCTGAAGGCCAAAGTAATAAGGCATTCTTAGGAATAAGGGAATGTATAAACTATCAAGGTGAAGTTCTACAGACTGTTTGTTAGGAATTTTACTTGTTCCATTCCTCTGAAAGAGGTAACTCTATTCCTTAAATACAAAACGAGGAGGTGAAAGTCAAACTGGTGCCTGACATATTTTGGTTCCAATGCTACATTAATCTGAGGTCATCAGGTGAATTGACATGGCTGTTAAAAGAATTTGGAACTTAAAGAAATAAACTCTTCTAACATGTACTCCCCAGATTGTTTAGTAAACTTGAGTACATTTAAAAAAAAATCAAGAATATATAAGCTGCATGTTGGCCGTTAGTGTTTTTTTGTAATAGTTAAATGGTTAGAAAATTTTCTGTTTAAACTTCATATTACATAACTAGGTAATAGAGTGTAGCAGTTCTTTGGCTTATAGTAGAAGATACTGTTACAAGATCCTGGATGCAAATTATGTTAACAGGAGAGCAAGCACTGTAAAGATATAATCATAAAGCCAGTTAACTATTTTACAAACTGGTTGAATATGCAATAAGTTTGTATTGGAGCATCGTGCAGCATTCCTCATTGACTAGATTTTTAAATTTGGAACCAATTTGCCAACCAATTTGCTGGAAGTGAGAGCCTGTAATAGCAATGATTAGAGTAACACACTATCTGGTACCTAATTAAACAACAGGATAGAGTGGTTTCACGATCATTGAAAGTAAAAGGTTAAGAAATAGACAGAGGAAAGACTGAAAAAGTGTGAATTAGAGTAGATTAATTGAAAAACAAATCAGGTGGAGATTGAAAAATAAATAAATAAAGATTGGATCATTAAGAGAAGAAAAGATTGTAAAAAGTAGTATTTTTTTACAATTTAAAAATTTCCAAAAACAATATACCAGCTGAATGAATGGGTTTCTAATTTTTAAAACTTTTTTTCATTTTCTGGGTAATAGCCCCCCCTCTAATTATGGAAAGCAATGCAAATCATCACTGAACAATTCCCAGGTAAATGGCTTAGGGTGATGCATCAGCAGATAATGAGCAAACAACACTTCTTCAGACAGAGCACACGAAATGAAAGAATGAATGAAAAGTGTACTTACTCAATTAATTACTAGGCTTAATTTTCCAAATACCATAAAATGCAACAACATCATGAAAATTATAGAGAGGTTAAGAGTGAGCAGCTATTTTCACAAAGCTAATGACAGAACAGTGCAAATTGTGTCTATCCATAATTCATAAAATATTTTTTCCTTGTTGCCAGTAGTTAGTTGATTTACATACTAATAATGGAATCTTCCAGACACCATTATTTCTTTTCTTTCTAAGTCAATGACTAAGTTTGTGCTGCCAGTTGTGGTCATGATAATGATAAACAATTGGAAGGTAGATATTTGCATGAGCCTTCACTACAGAGGATGCAGGTAGCATCTGGGAAATAGCTGTAAATCAGGAATTGAAAGGGAGAGAGGAACTCAAGAAAATTACAATAAATTAATGACACTGAGTTGGCAAGACCCAAGGTCCTAATGGATTTCATCCTAGCATTTTAAAAGAAGTAGCCAATGAAACAGTTGATGCTTTGGTTTTAATTTTCCAAATTAAATTTGGAAATTATAATTTTCATTATATTTAGGGAAGGGATTCTTGTTGAAACAGATTCTAGTTGATCGTTGCTGATTCACGGCGTAACTGCCTTTTATTTACATCGGCAAATTAGCTTTCTGCCCTTGATATGTCTCCAAAATATGGTTCGGGGTTTGGCAAAGCAACACACCAAGCAACAATTTAAAATTATGTAGCTGCCTGCCTGCCTGAATTCTTGTCCCATATTGGGATCAAATTCTTGCCTACTCAATCAGCCACTGTTGAAACAAAACCTCTCTCTTCAATGCTCAGAATCTGCTATATTAGACCATAAGATGTAGGAGGAGAATTAGGGCATTCAGCCCATTGAGCCTGCTTCGGCATTCAATGAGATAATGGTTGATCTGATAATCCTCAAATCCTCTTCATGCCTTTTCCCCTTAACTCTTGATTCCCTTACTGATCACCTTCAAACTCATGGATTATATCCTGGCAGAACCATTAAACTAACTATAGTGTAGGTACTCACCAATTTTGTGATAAAGCTCAGGTAGTTGGACCTCAATTTTTTCCCTCTGGAAAATATGATATTCCGCTTGCTCACAGATTGGAGGGATCAAATTGAACTGTCTTGCCACGGAGTAGGCCTCCTGAGGAAAATCAGTAAAAGATAGACTGTCAAAAAGATGAAAATCAGGTCCTAGTAATATTGTTATGAAACAAAAAATGAAATGACTATCCTGGTCAATACATGGCTTTCATCAGAAACATTTAAAAAAACCAGGGTAGATGGAGCTGTGATAGGGGAAGTGAAATAAAAGTTAAGCTATTATTCACTTGTATGCAATGTATTACCATTTGTTGTTATCAGCTGATTGTGGGTACTATTCTCCCATTAATAATTCTAAAATCAATAAGAGGAATCATTTCCTTTCCTGGCTTTGTTAGTCTGTAATTGAAGAATGATCTTTTATGTAAGAAATGCATATCAATGATGTTAATAATACAAGCAATCAGGGTTCACAGACTCCATCAGATGATTTGCATGTCAACAGAAATATAGGTTTCCATCAATATTGCATCAGAGTGCCAGTGGAAATTACAGTCAAACTCCCAACCTGCATTTTTCTTTCAGGTGGATGTAGATTTATACCACTTGCTACTTTTGCACTGTATATAATTTTATTTTTACAAAATATTGCCTTGGTCATGTGGCCAACATATTCGACTTTTCGATTTTAGCATACCATCGTTTGGTGGTTAAGTTGCTAGCCCCAGAAATAAGTCAACAGAGTATTAACAGTTTGGAGCTCACTTAATTTATCTAGTCAGGTAATAGAATCACAGAATCCCTACAGTGTAGGAAGAGGCCATTCAGCCCATGAAGTCTGCACCAAACCTCCAATGAGCATCCTGCCCAGAGCAAACCCTCTACGCCACTCAGTCCCTGTAACCCCACATTTACCACAGCTAACCCACCTAGTCTGCATATCTCTGGACACTATGGGGCAACTTAGTATGGACAGTCCACCTAACCTGCACATCTTTGGACCTTGGGAGGAAACTGTAGCAGCCAGTGGAAACTCACAAAGACATGGGAGAACGTGCAAACTTTCACCCATGACCAGAATCAAACCCAGATCCCTGGCACTGTGAGGCAGCAGTGCTAATTACTGAGTCACCATGCCAAATAGCTTTTTTTTGACAGTGAAAAGTCAATATCCTGAAATAACACTGTAACATGAATAGATAACAAATATTTACCCTGTCGACTAAAAGGAATTGTGTGAGAGGATAGGTATTTCTAATGTAACCAAGAAATGTATTCAAACCAGTTTATAATTCCAAAGCGTTCTTCACATAAATACCAGTTAAAATTTAAGGAGATTTTCCTTCTACACAATAGTGGTATTTGGGGTTCGGCTTATACAAGTTAGATCACATATATCAATTCAAATTGTCACTTCTTTCTGAAGATAGTAAATGACTATTTAGATGCTTAAAAGTGTATATTGTGCAGTTAGTATACTTCTAATAAATTGCAGAAAGATAGATACCATAATCTCCATGGCACTCCAACGGGATGTTCCCCAATACATGGCCATTCCTTGGTTTATCACGTATGTCATTGCCCGGACAATCTCTACATGACATTTGGGGTTGGGGGAGGGGATGGTGGTGGAAGGAAAACAAAAAGTAGACATTAGATTCTCCACTCTTTGCAATACATGAAATGTGCCATTTGACACAACAATAATTTTTGAGTTGATAGTGGCCTAAATATAAAATTCATAATAAGCCTCATAAATTGAACAAGACAATACTAAACTGTCCTTATCCTTTGCTTCAAAGTGTTTAAAGCATGATCAATTTGGTCACAGGTCCCATTGTCTTTCAGACAACTCAGGCTGATTTTGCCTCTATCAAACTTGACCCCTCCACTGTCCCTTATATAATGCTGTTGACATTGTAACCATAATCACACTAGTTCACCATATTACATTCTAGGATTTAAAATTACAGCACATTGTAAGTGAGGGAAATATATATCTCATTTACTAGACAAAATCAATTTCCTAGTGACAGTATATTACAGATAATGCTTTACTGCTAGGAAAAAAAAAATGACTGTAGCTGGAGACCTGTGAATTTTCTGATTTTTCCAGTTCTTTTAACATGGTTCAAATCCTGTTCTTACTGAATAGCGCACTAGCTGTAAGTTGAAATGACATTCACGGCAAGACGGGGGAAATTGACAGACGATTTTAGGTGAGCAGTTAGGTCCAGTTGAAGAGGTAATATGAGCACTGCCCTCTTGACCTGTGCTATATTTTCTTCAGAATGTTATGTTCATTGCCTGCATAATTGCTACTAGAGCAACATCACTATTAGGTCTTGATTTCTTGTTCTGATGGAGAATATTTCCATCATGGCAGACAGTGTAGACAGGGATTCCAAGTCCTAAACCCAAACCTGGAATCTCATTTTTGCTAGAGCAGGATTGTGTAGCTGGGCTGTAGTTTGCATATGTATAGTTGCTGAAAGCAGCAGTTATTTAAATAACCAGGTAAGAGCAGGCTTGTTTTCACTGCATTTACTTTGGATAGGTACCCTGTGAATGGATTCAAGGCACCTTTGATGGAGATAAGGCATCTTCTGAGGCACAGAAGGTACCATTTGGGATTGTGAAAAAGCATAAAAAGTGCACAAATTCATTAGGACTGGCAATGTTATCAAAGAACCTACCCTCACTACCCCCATCCTGCCCCCACCAATAATAAAGTAATGCCAGTTATTTCACATAAAATGATTACAGGTTTTGTGCTGGTTACTGATTTCCTAAATATCATTTTGACAAAGGGCTGCCTATTGATGGACAGTTTCAACTGTTTATTGAATGGAAATATTTGTTGACACAATAGGGCAAGCACTTGAGACACTGCGCATCAAAGAAATGTTTGTTTTCATAAGGAATTAGTTGAAGCATTTCTATGTATTGGATTTTTTTTGTATCTATATGTTTTCAAAAGTGATATCTCAAAAGGCCGACAACTCTAGTTCCTATCAGGATTTATGTCCTCAATGCATAACAGGTGAGTGACCATGGAGGGTGGTGAGTAAGGGTATGAGTTGACACTGACTTTGTACATGGTTACAAAGGGCCTTAGGTTGAGTGGGGTATATGGTGTATGAGGTCCATGGGATATGTGTAGATTGATGTTTGTGTATCATGGGGTTTTGGGTAAAATATGGTAGGAGATGCCAGGGCAGTTAGCTAAGATTGATGTGGAGGTGCCAGTGTTGGACTGGGGTGGAACAAGTTATAAGTCACACGACACCAGGTTATAGTCCAACAGGTTTATTTGAAATCACATGCTTACGAAGCTCTGCTCCTTCGTCAGGTTAGCTAGAAGGGCATAGAATGGTACAGGGGTTAAAAGGGGGGATGAGGACAGGTACAGGCATTGTTTGGCACAGACAGAGAATGGGGTAGGGGGAAATTAGGAGGAATATGTTATATTTTAAAACTTTGAACACATTGCCAGAGCCCCAAGGCAAACTTTTACCCAATCCACTTTGTGAACAGTCTCTTAGGCTCTTTCTGGTTATCCAGGCCTGAACCTCAATCCAGCCCAGCCCACTGGTCTGAAGATCGGCATTTGCAGGTGACCATTTCTAGAGGGCAAATTTGCAGAACCAAAATTTCTCCCAACTCTGTACACACAACCCAAGATAAAAAAGGGGTCCCAGTTTGAAACAAAAGGTGTAAAATGGTGATTACAAATAAAATATTTTCAAGTACTAGAAATGAATAAATTATACTATTTTAACATGAACAACAGGTAAAACAAAATATTATCTTCAAAGTCTTGTCGGTCCATTCCAGCATTTTATGTGGTCCTTGTGGATGTCATGGAAACTCATTAAGGAGCAGTGAAATCTTCCAATGTTTGGGCAATCGTCTTCCTTCAACTGTTATTAAAAAAAAAGTAACTGATGATAAAATAAGTAAAATTGCTTCCACATTGCTATTCTGTTGTTATCAGTTACTGCTAATTGTGGATAAAATGCCACAAAACATTTCTGAGAGACATGCTATGGCAGAGAAATCGCAGCATCTGTAGTATGGAGTGTTTGGGTGAGTAGGAGCAAGTGAGGGAAGATGCTGCATGTAATTCTGAGAGTGGTAGAGCATGAGCCTTGGTAGGATGTGGATAGAATGAGTGTGAGGTCACAGGAAGAAGACAGTGGCACCTACCCTGGTCGAGTGGAGAATTGAAGTACTTGCAGCATTGCTGGGCATTGCTCTGGATGACTGACCCTGGTGACCACGAACCATGCTGGCAGGGCCTGGTGGTGTGGCCTCCTCTGCACCATTTTACCCACCAGAACCTCCAGCTCCCTGCCTGCAAAGCAGGCCACCAATGTGCCTGTATCTGCCATGTCCAGCAAGGTAGTCTGTAGCCATATACGGCAGCACAGGAATGCCAGCATTAATCTGAGTGCCCAATGATATTTTAAGTATGGTGCCAACACAACTGATGCTGGGATATCTGGGCAGTGAATGTACTTTTGGCAATGGCACGTGGCAGAATCAAGCTAGCATTGTATAAGACGGGAGCCATAGGGACGGGGTAGGTAGTTAATGAGGTGCAATTATGGCAATAACCTGAGAAGATTCCTTGGACCTCATAGAGAGAAGCTCTCCATTAAACTTGATGAAAATGGCACTGCCAAAATATGGTAAGGTTCATCCTCACTTGCTTACAATTTGTTAAGTCAGAGCCTGCTAAATCATTAAAGCCACTAGGAAGTGCACCTCCTCCAGAAAAAGATGCTTAACCCATTCTCGAGGAAGTTTATGTACCTTAGGCTAAAAGCTATTTCCAAGATAGCAAGAACTGCAGATGCTGGAGTCAGAGATAACAAAGTGTGGAGCTGCAGGAACACAGCAGGCCAGGCAGCATCAGAGGAGCAGGAAATCTGACACTTCGGACTGGATTTTCTGAAAAAGAGTCCTGACCCGAAATATCAACTTTCCTGTTCCTCTGATGCTGCCTGACCTGCTGTGTTCCTCCAGCTCCTCACTGTTATCTAAAAACTATTACCAGCTGTTTTCTGGATAATCCAGCTACTGATGCTACAAAGCTGTCCCTTTGCAGGAATATCAGGTATATGGATGTTGTTGTGTGCACACTGGCTCACTGTATGAGCTGCTCTTCATGATGAAGTTTGCTACAAACATCCTCTTTAAATGTATAAATCTCCACAGCCTACTTTGACAACTGTGAGAGGAAAACCATTTCCTGGTCTAAAAAGAAGTGTCTCCTCTAGTTAATAAAATATTGTTTATTGCATATTAACAACTAATCATAGGTTACATTGCTCATAGCTATTGTTACATTGAGGATCAGATGTTACATTTCACTCCTTTGAAATCCTAAGGCATTTTGGTTAAAAGTCCACATCACATCATCATAGTGGGTGATGCTTATGGCTCTCCTTAGAATTAACCCTTTCAAACTCTCTCAGACCCATATTCAACATCTCCCAACCCCAAAGCTTTTATTGCCAATTATGATTATATATCTGTGAGCATAATTACACTTACCATTGCTACATTTTCTCTGATTTTAAACCTTCAGGCAATCTGAAGATTTCATTATTCTCTTAGAATGCATTCTCTTTGGACTTGGTGTTTTATTGGGTTGAAGACTATTGACTTTGATTCTATTCCTGACTATCTGGGGTCTCTTAAGTCCTCTGTTTTATCACTTTCTGCATTGGGTTTGTCTCTATCTATCAATGACGGACAATTTACCTGTAATGGGATAAGGTTACTGAGGTTCTTTCATATGACCCCCTTTGGTAGTAAGAACAATATACAATCTCTGCTGGTCTGCAGCTTCTCGGATGACTGTACCTTTACTGCTCAGATCCCTGAACCACACCCATTTCTCCATCCTAAATGTGATAACCATCTCGTACATGAACACTTATTGTCATATTTTGTTTTTTGTGTTTAAGGTCCTATTGCTTAAGTCCTGACAGTCATACAGGCATAAATGTAAAACCAACTTCTTTGGTAGGATGCAGAACTGAGTCTTCAGCTTCCTGACCATTAGCAACTCTGATGCTGTTAGAACACATTGGAATACATGGTCTATACTTTAGCAGTGCTGTATGGCAGTTGGAATTCTTCAAGAGCAAATTAACTGTCCTTACCCCAGGGTTTGCTTCCTGATTTGTTTGTGGATGACATTTTCAAATTCAGAACTGGTTGTTGCAAATTGGTTGGAGGAAACTGTGTCTCATTGTCTGAATTGACTACATCAGGGATACCATGATGTTACAAATATTTCATGTAAGACTTAGCTATTTCATCCATGGTTGTGGTATGTTTCTTCTTAACCTCTATGTGTTGGATGAAATAATCAAAGACAATGCAGTAAGACCTTCCTTCAAAAACAAATAGATCCATGCTATATTCCCCCATGGTCTAGCGGGGAATGTGGGAATCAGTCTGTCAATCTCAACGTTGAGTATTCTTAATGACCCAACCTCAAAAGTCCTGTGCAGTAAAGAATTCCACAGATTGACTATTGACTGTGAGAAGAAATTCTCTAGTCCTAGGCTCTCCCA